TAGAAAAGACCTCCACGGTGGAATAATTTTCTAGCTTATCATGCAGTCTACTATATATTGTTTTTGTAAAAAATTTTGATATGAATAGGAGTTGCATACAATATCAGCTCTATTTTAAGCCAGAACCTTTATAATTAGAGTATTGTAGAGAGCTACACATTGGGGTATTTTTTGGTTAGAAGCAAAGCTGTGCAAGGGATAATTTCCTTTTCAGTTAATCTTGAAAATGGCACTATATGTAGAAATGTAAGGGGTGTGTGTGTGTGTATTATTTGTTGTATTTATAAGTATATCTTGCCTTTTCTGAGAGAGCTAGTATATATAAAAGTCAGCTCTAACTTTTTTCTATAATTCTTTAGTAAGGAAAATTGGGCTGAAAAAGTTTGATTTCTCCTGGAATTTTCTATCTAAACTCAGTGAAGCTTAATCTCTTCTTTCTAGTCTGCCATCTTAATCTAAGCTACAGCTAAATTACTGTTCTGCTTAGAGTTCACAACTTTACAGTCTCATATGTATCGATATCTTTTCTGATCTGTGTGTATTGATTTAGTAAGGAAATTTGCAAATTTTATTATATTACAGATCAATATTTATTCATATCCATATATTGCTTTTTGTTAGTGATATTCCATTGAAATTGTTTCATCACTTATAGAATATTTTATTTATTTATTTTACAATCAGAAATAGTGCATAAGGAAAGCAAAATAATTAATGACCATGTTAAATCTATAATTATAACCCATGTATATTCAGATGTATCTTCAGTATCTTCAAACTTCAACTATCTTCAGTAATCCTACAGGGAAAAATAAAATGGATTGTTTTTGAAATAAAATGGTCTATTTCACTAATTTGATTTTTTAATTTAATTTTTCATACCTGCAAACTATGTATTTAATTTTTTTATGTCTCTCAGTTCAGTTCACCAGTCTTTGCAGCAGAATCACCTAGTTGGAGGGCCTCTAGATGCAGTATCAGCCACATCTTCCCAGGCAAATCTTTACTCTGTCCAGATATCTCAGGAACAAATGAGACAGAGACAACAGCAAATTCGGCAACAAAGATTCCTTCAGGTTTGGGGTCTTTAATTTCGTTGGTTAGAAATGATTATTTTTATTATGACGATCACAGTGTTTATATGACAATGTATGAGCACGTAATTTTCTTTTATTTATTTTATTTAGCGTAAGGCAAATACATGGACTTATAGTAGTTCAAATGTTCAAAATGGATATTTTGTCAAGGAGCACCACAGTCACACTGAGGGGTAGAGACAAGACCCCACTTAAACAATGAATCCTGGCAGACACTATGTTGGGTATGGATCCTGTTCAGAGTTGACCAATGTTGGCGAGGAAGGTCAAAACCTGGCACCTTTTGTGTTGGGCCATCTACGTAATGCTCTATTATGTCAGTATACATAGTCCAGTCTGAAATGCCTATTAAGAATGGTAATGGCCCTCCTCTTACTTAGAGACCTTTCTAAAAGAGCACTACCTTCTATTACTTATATTTGTAATTCTTCATAAAAGTAAATTGTAGAAGCCTGGGATCACAGCAAAGGATTATTTATTTTATTTTTTATTGATTTTTATTTGTCAATTGCTTACAAGATAATAGGAATAAGTAAAAACATAGCTATGAATACATGGATACATATAAGAAAAATATAAAAAATATATAAAAGAAACAATAGGACAGGGACGGTAAGGCATGTTGGTGTGCTTATGCACGCCCCCTACAGACTTCTTAGGAAAGGGGTGAGGTCAATAGTAGACAGTCTAAGGTTAAAGTTTTTGGGGTTTGGGGAAAAAACCACAGAGTCAGGTAGAGTATTCCAGACATTGACCACTCTGTTACTGAAGTTGTATTTCCTGCAATCAAGTTTGGTGCGATTAACCTTGAGTGTGTATCTATTGTTTGCTCTTGTGTTGTTATAGTTGAAGCTGAAGTATTCATTGACAGGTAGGACATTGCAATGTGTGATTTTATATACTATACTTAGATCGGACCAAAGGCAGCATAGTTCTAGGTTTTCTAGGTCTAGAATTTCGAGTCTGGTGGCATAAGGTATTCTACAATGAATAGAGGAGTGGAGAACTCTTCTTGTGAAATATTTCTGGACTTTCTCAACTGTGTTAATATCAGATACATAATGTGGGTTCCAGACTGATGAGCTGTATTCGAGTATTTGTCTAGCAAATGTTTTGTATGCTCTAGTTATTAGTGTAATATTACCAGAGAAAAAAACTATGTAAAATTAGGTTAACAACTCTTAACGCCTTTTTGGCTATGTAGTTACAGTGGGCTCTAGCACTTAGGTCATTAGAGATGAGTACTCCAAGATCCTTGACAGAGTTTGGATCATCAACAAGGTCTTGACTATTCAGCCTGTATTTTATTTTCTGATTTTTTTTGCCAATATGTAGGACAGAGCATTTATTTGTTGAGAGTTGAACTTGCCATTTGTTTGACCATTCTGATACATAGTCAAGGTCTTTTTGAAGGGTAGCAGTATTGTCTGTGGTGTTGAATAGTTTTACATCATCAGCGAAGAGAACGCAGTTGCTCTTGATATGATCACAGAGGTCATTTATGTAGAGTATGAAAAGAGTTGGTCCTAGAACACTGCCTTGGGGGACACCACTGTTGACAAGTACAGAATTTGATAGGATGCTCCCAATTTTGACCATTTGTTGTCTGTTTGACAGGAATGCTTCTATCTAGTAATACAGGTGTCCAGAGATACCATAAGATTTTAGTTTTAGGAGTAGTTTGTCGTGTACCACTGAATCAGAGGCTTTACAGAAGTCTATGTAGATTGCGTCTATTGCTTTGCCCTGAGTTTTGTAGTCCATATGTTTTTGCAGTGTAAAAGTTGCAGATTACATGATAGTTTCTTCCTGAAACCAAATTGTTTATTAGAGAGTAGGTTGTTTGTTTCTAAGTGGAGGATGATGGATTGGTTAATAATTGATTCCATGACTTTACAGGTGAATCAGCATGAAGAGATTGGTCTGTAATTTTCAACTAGGCTGGGGCCTGCCTTTTTGAAGATGGGGATGACCATGGCTTGTGTCCATAGTTTTGACAAGGAGCTGGTCCTGAAAGATTTTTCAAAGATTATGCTTAGAGGTTCGGCTATGGCAGTGGGTAGCTTTTTTAAGAAGCAGGCACATATTCCGTCCGGTCCAATAGATAGAGATGGTTTTAGATTGCGCAATGTTTTTTCAACAATGTCTTCAGTAAAATTGATATGTATTAGATCATTGTAGTTATCTGTGGTTCGACTAGGAAATACTGGGCATGATCCATTGCTGTTTACAAATACTGAGCCAAAGAATGTGTTAAAGAGGTTGGCTTTAATAGTTAAAAGCCCTTACTAAATTAAATTAAATTAAAATTAAATTAAATTAAATTAAAATAAAGCCCTTACTAAATCTACTTTAGCCTTTCAGTAGTATAGTTTGTAAAAATTATAGAAACACTACAATAAATTACAGTTATAGCCTTTTTGTGGATTCAGTTTCTCGATCTGGTCTACTTTGTAGGCTTGAGTATACTAATAACCCATTCCCAGGAAAAGTCCATGCTGTCAAACATCAAAATGGCCATTTTGGAAAAATGGAAGTTTAACATAAATTTTAAGGAAGATATTGGTAGATATATATGTATCCAAAGTTTTCAGACAATCTCTAAAGATCCTAATAAATATAATGTGTTTTTAATAAATTGCAATTATTGACTAGCTCATAGTAATCTGATTTAAACTACATGTAACCTGCATCTGCATAACCAATCTGTCTCCTCCTCCTCCATCTCAGTTTAAATCCTTTATCAGTCTAGCTATCTGATTGTGATCTACAACTCACAAAAGCTAATTCCTTTTAATAAAAATCTGTTAGCTGAAAATGTACTACCCAACTTCTGACTTTTTGCCTCCCATAAGCTGCCATATCTTTTCTTCTGCAATGTATGTAAAGCTCAGGACCTGATTTATTGAACTATATAGTCCTTCCTATATGTACGTCTACATAAGCTTCAAGCATTTCTATTCTCTAACTTCTCCTATCTCCAGAGGGATCTTTATTAGTATCACAAGTTTAACAATCTAAGGTTGTGAAAATTTATAGATGATTTAATTAGAACAACTAGACAAAGACTGGTGAATTAAATCTGAACATTTGGGCAGAAATTTATTAAGCACCACAAAGGTGGGAGCTAGAAGGAATTCTACAATGCAAAATTACAGTTTGCAATTACAACTCATAAAAAGCAACGTTTCCTAGAGCAGAATGTTACTTCAGTATCTGCTCTCAAACTTGGTGGGTGGAGATTAATCTGGGCATGCGGCTCTCAGCCTAATGTCAAAAGCCTTCTGTAAATGATCAATCCAACTGAAAAAAAATGACATTCTAGCTTCAACCAGTTTATTTATTGATCAACTACAAGATTTCTCATCCTTTGAAAGTTGGCACTATTCTTGCCTTTCTATCGCAATAGGAGTTGCAAAAGCAATCCAAGACAATTTCCATATTGTTACCTGTATTAGCAGACCTTTTTACACACATAAATAACACCTGCCACATTCCAGATGGGTGGAAGATGGCATTAGTTGTCCCCATATATAAAAAATAAAAAGGATCGTAGTAATTATAGGCCTATCAGCCTGATTGACATTGTAGCAAAAATATATGCTAGGTAGGTTTGAACAGAATTGAAATCTGGGTAAAGGAAAACAACATCCTCACAGAAGAACAAGCAGGTTTTAGACAAGGCAGATCTACTATTGATTACTGCTTGTCTTGAATCATCTAATTGCCAAATATGCCTATAAGAGAAGACCCCCGTTTGCTGCTTTCATAGACCTTACATCAGCATTTGATATGGTAAATAGAGACGTACTATGGAGTAAACTGACATCTCTTAAAATAGAACCCTGGCTTTGATTAAAGCCCTTTACAAAAGTACCTGCTTGAGGGTGTAGTATGGGATTAACGGGGCCCTGACTAAGAGGATTTGCACAAATAAAGGGATAAGGCAAGGGTGTATCCTGGCCCCATTATTATTTAAGTTATACATCAATGACTTGCTAGGGTTAATGAAAGATACCATGGTACACATGCCATTGATCTTAAACATTTACTGAAACAGCTTGCTTTATGCTGATGATATGATTTTATTATCATATACACAAGTAGGATTATGTAGGCTATTAAGGAGATTTAGCTCTTATTGCCAGGATAACTCTCTAATCATTAGTAAATCTAAATAAAAAATAATGGTGTTTGGAAGAAACCATCAGAGACATAGGTGGCAATTGGATGGTGAACCAGTTGCACGGGTTAATTCCTTTGTATATTTGGGCGTAACTTTTTCCAAGACTGGATCTTGGGCCTGCCATCATCAACGGAGTACATTTAGAGCAAAAGCCCATTTGAATTTATTGCTCAAACTAAAAAACCATCGTTATCCAGGGTCCCTAGTCCCACTAATCAAGGTTTATAAGACTAAGGTTACCATAATACTCTAGTATGGAGCAGAAATTTGGGGTCTTTAGTCAACCACAGTCCTAGAACAAACATAGTCCCAGCATTTGAGATGTATTTTGGGTGTAGACCCAAGAACATCTGCTGCAGCAGTTAGAGCTGAATTGGGAATTTATACAATTCAGGCATTATCTAAAATTGGAGCTTATAACTACTGGTGCAAAGTTAATGAAATGGAGACTAATAGACTATCCAAATTATGCCTAGTAGAGCAAATAAAACTACAATCACAAACCTCCTGGATCATTAAACTAACAAATTTTGTAAGAAGCTGTGGTCTTTCTATCTCTTGTGTAACAGGAGAACAATCTAAACAAAGAGTTGCCCAAAGAATTAAGGATATAGATGCACAAACTGATACAGCTATCCTTAGTAAGGTAGGTAACTTGAAATGGTTGAGTAACTACAAATGTACTTTCCAAGTAGATAGCTACTTGAAGTCACAACTCCCAAAACATCTTAGGGAGATATTCACGAGAGTGAGATTTGAACAGTTTGACACAATGAGTGTCTGCATTTGCGGAGCGGCAGAGGTGGAGGACCTGGCTCACATCCTATTTGACTGTTGCCTGTTTAAGAGGATGAGAGACAGGTATCTTGGTTTATATATCAGACAAATGACCCATTGGGATACCCATATCAAAATAACTTACCTTATGTCTGGCTAGAACTTGAAAATAACATTTAAAGTAGCACAGTATTTAAACAAAATGATTCGGTTGAGATCTGCATATGTGAAATTGATTGGGGTAGATTGCAAGGCGACTGTGAAATATAATGTTATTATATTTTATCCATATCTTAAATTATTGTACATTATTACAATTTTATTTTGGATTGTATTTTATTACTATTTTATCTTAAATCGTATTTTGTCTAGATTCCATTTTAAATTGTATTTTACCAAGTTCCATTTTAAATAGTATTTTATCAAATTTCATTCTGAATTGCTTTTATTAAATTTTAGTAACAAATTGTTGCTGGAACTTTGCATTTTGATATGGCCCAAGTGCTAATCAATAAAGACTTATTATCATATTGTTACCAGGAAAATGGATACATTAACATGTTCAGTAGAATGAAGCTTCACTTTAAGAAAGACTTATAGCTTCTTTTTAAACAAAAAAGATAAACAGAATTGCAGTCATTTTCCTTTTTTTTCTTTCAGCTTCAGCATCAACAGAATCAACAACAAATCATTAACCTTCAAGCAATGCAGCCTCAACAACAATCTTTCGTAAGAAAAATATTCATAATAAACCATATTCTGGAGGTCTTTCACAATATAGAAAGTCTTGGGGTTTAAATTGGCATATCCTGCTAATTACTGCTATTAATTTCCATGTTCTTGGAGAAAGCTGAAAGTGATATCACAATAATAAGAGTGAAGTGGCTTTGAATGTCTATTTCTCAGTCTCTTGTTTAAAAAATAGGCTAACTACAGTATGTGCTCTGTAAATTTTCTAATAGGGTAATTATTGTTTGAAATATTACCCATATAATACTTCCCATATTTAAGAGATAGATAGTTTTCGCGGGTACTTACATGTATGGTATTCAGCTTTGTTCGGGTATTTTCCCACGTCATTATAGTTGTGCTTTTAAAGTTGGAGCAACGTTTCGGCAGAATCTCATCTGCCATCATCAGGCTTCTGTATTGTGTTCTCACAGACTCACAGACTCACACAATACAGAAGCCTGATGATGGCAGATATTGCTTGTACAAATACTATATATTGCTTGTACAAATACTCCATCTAGTGGATTAGGTATCAATGAATTTCACTACTAGTCTGCTTAAATCAAATTTATAGCTGCTAAAAATGTGTTTGATTTGAACTGTGATTATCAACCTCCTGATGAACTATGTTGTAATACTGCTGCCTTCTGCCCTCTATGCTTAATAATTTTTACTTCCACTGAAAAAGTCTTTTTTGTACTACTTCTTTTAGAGGATTAGATTAATTTATTTAAAAGTTCTCAGGGGAGGTGTAGGAGACCTTGCCAGGAGAAGTCTATTTGCTTTTCACTGTATAAATGTTCCACGTGCCCTTATTATTGAGAGTAAAGTCATTATCGTTCCTACAACTTTAGCACTTTATAGAATAAATAGCACAACGTTACAATGTTTATGTGATCACCTAGCTATTCCAATAAGAATAGATCCAATACAGAAAGAAATAAAAGCTTACAATTCATGCTCCAAATAGTTAGGGAACATTTTTAAAGATCCATTCTTTTTAGCCCAAAGTGTGCAGCAACCTCCAACTTTTTCCATTTATTGAGAATGTCTTTGTTTCACTTTGCTTTGACTTTCTCACAGAGATCTAAACAAATGAATTTAGCTGCTGTGTTAATACATTTTATTTATTTTGATTTAGACAATCAGTTGAGAAGCATTTCATGTATGCTTCTGTATAAGAAAAGGTAATTTAGCTATAAAAATCATGACTTTGTTTTTGTTTTGCCAAAATACACATCTGGGAACAGTTGCTCAATTTCTAAAGAAAGAGAAAAATATCCAACTTAACATATTGCCTTCACATTTCATAAATGGCCAGAGATTTTATTTTTGAACTTTCCAAAGAAATAGCATTTAGAACTCCAGTTTTAGTCTATTGGAATGAAGTCAGAAAATACTTGCATGATGGAAACATTAATGTTTCAAAGAGAGAATATCTTGTAGAATAGACCGCAAGTGGATAAGCACATCATTTCGATGTTAGTCTCAATATTGCCAGAAAAGGTAGTAGATCAAAGCCTCTCTTTTCTGTGCAAAGCTGATAATGAGGTTGAGCGAAAAACAGTACTTACTGTCAAACAGATGGCTAAACACATCACTAACCATCTATTAAAACTTGGCTCTTCTCCAGCCACAGTCCATATTAAGGGCAATGATTGATGGAGGTTTTTTTTCTTACCAGTAGTTAAATGAGCTATGCAGAAAACAGGAGAGAATCAATTCTGGTCTTCTTATTGAGGCACAATAGAGACCACCTATGTAGACAGAGGAAACCATGCCAGCATATTATGTGCTGCCTCATAGATCAGGAAAACATGTTAAATAGGCAATCTGGATGGACTCTTATAAATTGTAACAAAAATTGAAGAAAGCATTGATCTCCCAAATCCTCATCCTGCCACCCAAGTTCTGAATGTTCAAATGTTGCACCTTCTGAATATATTGAATGTTAAAGATAATTTCTTTAGTATCTAGATGCTTCTGAGTTTCACACTGAGTTATGAGATACCACATGTTCTGTCACACAAAACATTAATCATTCACATCCTAGAATAATGAATATCAACGGTCGCAATATTTATTTTTGCTAGGCTCATTTAAATGTCTGACAGTCCTAGTCAAATTCAAATTTCCATAACTAACAACTTCAGGTAACTTTATGTTAAAATATGGCTTTAAAGTACACAATTCAAGTATGAAACATAAACTGCAGTTTTTCAAGAATTTTCTTTTACAATTTTATTCTTTTTACTAGTCAATAATTTTCTTCTTTTACAATTTTATTCTTTGTACTAGTCAAACTTTTCAGCTAGTTGTGTTGGCTTAGTATCCTTATACACTAAATTTAGTGGATTTTGCTTTGTTTGAAAATGTGCTTTGGTGCGTAAGAAATTAAAATCAAACCAATATATCCTTGGGGCCTTTTTAGACATTTGAACTGGAATCTTGTCCCTGTGAGCAAGTTATTTTTTCCCTACTTTCTGAGACCCTAACATAATTGCATTTGATTTAAATTAGAAGATTATATATTATTTTCATTTATCTTAATTCTTCTATTATTTAAATACTTCATTTTAATTATTCTGTAAATTTATATCTAGATTTTTATAGCTAAGCATGATCACTAGAAGTATGTGTTTGTGTGTACATAGAATCAACTTTCTGTTATATTGGTTTTAATTTGACTCTTTTTTCACAACATATTGTACATACATACATACATACATACATACATACACACACACACACATACATATATATATATATTCATATATATGACTAATTTAACTATTGGTGTTAATATTTAAGAGAGATTATTGAAATACGGCTGAATAGCTTGGATTATTAAAATGCTTTAACCATTTAACGGGATCCAACATAAAGAGAAAAAAGAGAAAAAACAAAATTGTAAATTTTTCAGACTTGTACACCTAATAACTTATCTCAAAATGTTTAATACTTTTTTTCCTATCACAATGTCTATCACTCTGAAATCACATTTTGGTTAATCTATTTTAAACTCTTCTTGATCATACAAATCTATCAGCCTGGATTTCTTAGCATTTTAAAGCATTTTTTCCAGGATTTTGTGAGTTTAGTTTTAGTCTTTAAAGTGCATTTGGCTTTAGTGAATGTGGACAAGTCCAAAATGAGTTGGCTTGAGCATTTCAGGATTTCCTGTTCATTTTCAGTTTTGCGCATGAGGACAGTTCTGACTTACAGTTAACAAGTGCTGCTATTCTATCTATCTCATGATCCGTAATATATTGGCTTGATTCATATAGTCATTAAGACACTAATACAAATTGAATGTTTTACCATTTAACACTGGGTTAATAATCCCACAGGCTACATGCACTCCACCCAAATTGTGAAATGGCAATAATTTACATAAGACATAGCTTCACTGCACAGTTTAGACTGCATGCATTAGCAGAATTGAAAACATATGAATTGGTGTCATGATTAGTATATGTTTTGGATTATTGTTAATTTATGGTACTTTTTATAAACAATTAAAAATTATTCAGATAAATATCAATTATTTATGAGAATTCTAGCATAAAGAATAACCATTCTAACAAATTAATGGTTAAGAAATTCAAATGATATGAACTGTGTTTCTTAATATCTTGAGATGAGTTTAATGTATCAAAAAACTCTATTAAAAACTCTATATTAAAATATTATTGAGATAATATTTTATAAGAGTTACTTGTCCATTTCATTATGTTGGAAAAGTAAAGCCCGGGTAGTCATTGACTTATGATCACTATGGGGTCCAGAATTGTTGTTGTTAGTGATGCAGCTGTCAAGTGAGATATCATGTGAATGAATCATTTAGCAATCACAAATTCTGGTTGCTGTTCTTAGGCAAGAATTGTGGATTGTTAACTGAGTACCACCTTGAACAAATGGGACTATCTGTTGGCTTCTGCTCTTTGCAATTCTGGTGACAACATATGTGCACCTCTCCTTTGTGTCCTGATCTGGGTACATTTGAAGACATAATGGCAGCATGAAAGAACACAATTAACAGCCTGTCATGGTCACATGACCATATTTTATGATGAATGTGCCAGAACTTGATACTTATCTCCATTTTTATTTATTTGTTTATTTATATCCCACCTTTATTATTTTCACAAATAATTCAAGACAGCGAACATATCCGTATTTCTAGCCAGGCGCCTTAACCATTAGACCAAAACTGGCTCTTTGTTTTATAATTTTGTGTGTGTGTGTGTGTGTGTGTGTGTGTGTGTGTTAATTATAATGTTTTCAACAAAAACCATTGGTTTATTTAACAACCACTATATTTTTATATGACCACCACAAAAAAGGTTATAAAATTGTACTGTTCAACATGTTTTACAACTGTCACAGATGCAGTTCCATTATGGTCATAAATCAAGGAATACCTGTATTTGTACCACACTTACTTGTCCTATACTGCTACATCCCTTATCTTTACTTCAACATTCTGTAGCTGTGTAACTGAGATATTGAGACGTTGTGTTATTTATGTTATTTTATTACCTGTTTGTAGTAGTGATGGTGAATGAGAATGAGCAAAACTGGAAAGTTTGACTCTGTTCAAGTGGTCATCTGTTTAATAAATGATCTGACTTAAGAAGATAAATTATAATATCCACTAAAATACTTTGGTTATCTTGAAAACATTAAAGAATTCTAAATCTAAAAATTCAAGTCTTCAAAATCTTTGAAAGCCTTTGAAGAGAATCCTTAATGGAGAAAAAATAATTTGGTTAGGGATACATATTTGCCATAGAAAAAGCCCATAGGAAATGAGCACTTTTTCCTTACAAGAGATATTTTTTGAGATTAGAAAGACAATATACACTGTGAGTAATTTGCTATTTTTTTTTCTGATGCTGAATATTGCAGTTCCCAAGACAAGGATTGCAGCAGACCCAGCAGCAACAACAGACAGCTGCTCTTGTCAGACAACTCCAAAAACAGCTGTCAAGTAAGTATGTAGCATTAGATAAAGGTTCTTTCCTGCTTCTTTCCATCTGGGCTTTTGCATATTTGGAAAACAGTTACTGCCAACTCATTATGGTTAAATAATAAATCTGGCTATCATTGCTTGAGAGTAAAGGAATGTTGCTAGTGATAAAGCCCATATCTTAAAAACTTCAACATGTATGCACACACTGCTGTTTAGTAAGAATGTTTTAAATATTGTATTTCATCTTATTTGCCATGGATTGGGGGGTCAACCTACTTGTATCAAAATATTTTTCATGTGGTTATGAAAAAAGATGAATGATCTACACATATATATTCAAGATTATGTAGCTAACCAATGAATAATATAAGCAATTAACATATTTATTACAGATACTGACCTATAACAAGGCTCTAGACCAGTGATGGCTAATCGTTTCCACATTGTGTGCCAAAAGTGTGCTCACATGCCTGCACCCATGATGCAATATGTGCACGACTCACCCCGCCCCCTGCGAATGTGTGCACAATCCCCTGCGTGTGCACCATGCGCCTCTGTGTATGCGCATGCAACCCCCACATGCCGCATGCCTCTGCACATGCACACACATTTTCCATGTGCACGTCTCCCACATGTGTATCTCCCATGTGCACATCTCCTATGTGCACATGCCCGGCAGATATCCGACAATCGGCTGGCAGGAGTGCATGAGCATGTGCAGAGGGGCTCTTCCGGGCAACCTCTCATGTGCCAGCAGAAGTGGCTCTGCATGCCACTTCTGGCACGTGTGGCATAGGTTCGCCATCACGGTTCTAGACAGTTTAAAGAAGTAAAATCTCCAATAAAACAATCTGTTACTAAACCCAACAAGACAAAATCTTTTCAGTTCAAATCCAAAACATCAGTAGATTCTAAATGCCTGTCTAAATAAGATCATTTTTACCACTTTGCAGAACTCCAACAGGCTAAAAGTTGATCTATCTTAGGGTCAAGGTATTGCATAATTCTGGAGCTGCCACTTGAAATATGTGTTTCTAGGCTCATATTTCCTTGACTCATTGTGACACAGAGATCCCAAATATCTTCTGTCAGAATGTTTCTACGGGATTGACAGATTTTGATCAGGGCAGACATTAAGTCAAGATATATAAATGACATATGTGTTAACACTAGTATTTTAGACTTGGAGAATCTATTGGCAATGAATCCTGTGATGCAATTGTAGTAGAATTCATAAGCAGCCTTATTATAAACCAAGTTTCCATTGTTGTTTCCAAATAGTTTCAAAGGTAGTCCCGAGTAAAGAGCAATACAGTAGTCTAAGTATGAGATGAGAAAGTCATTAGATGAAGGTGCCAAGGCTTTTTTGGTCCAAGAAAAATCATTACTATACATCAGGCAAAGCTGAATAATGTCCCTCTCACAAGCATTAGGCTTTACCTGTTGCTTGAATAAAACCATAGTGAACCGTCAAGTTATAGATTCATCTTTTGATGAGACCCATCAAAACCCAACATACTTGGCTGTTTATACATGAACAGAATTTACTGTAAATAGATGTGTATATCATCATCATAATGATGATAGCCTCACCTCATACTACTGGATGATCTCACTCAAACATATATTTTCATATAGAAGTTTAATAATATATTAGAAAATGTTAAGTCCTATTGCACTTATCATGGAGAAATCAAAGACTGGACTATCCTTTCCCCATTAGTCTATTGGAAACCATCAGTGTCCACAACTCTTATGGGTGTTTCAGAAGGATAAAATGATTGATGTTATTGAGTCCCATAGGATTAGAGAGAGTACATTCCAACCAGATACCAATGAAGGTGAGAGTAACAGTGCAGCTTCAGTCCCAAGTTCAAATTTGAATCTGAAGGAAATGATTCAGAGGGTGCATTTCATCAAGAATCCTTTGAAGCTGATACCTTACCATTTTTTTCAAAATCAGCTCCAGAGTAGGTGGAGGAGGCATGAATGGCCATGTGATGGAACTACCTACCAATCAATTGGGGGAGGAAAATTCTCAACGACTGAAAGCCCAGGATTGTCAGAATTATAATATGCCAGGGGAGGGCCATTTAAATTAGTTCTCCATCCTTTCAGAAATGAAAGACTCTAATCATTCATATGTTGACCAGAAAATGACCAGACCATGATAAAGGTCTTTCATCTTCATGCCTCGTCTATTCTGAAATACAGACAAGAAGCAGTATATGTATGCATTGGAACAGAGATCACCTTAGCCAAAGCCATGAAATATCGACTCCATTCAAAAACAACCTTGGGAAATTCCAACAGAAGGATCATACCATGAGCTTATTCATGCAATTTAAATACACTCACACTTGGTCCGCTGGAGAACAACACCTTTGGTTATTGCCAAAGGTTTTCATATTTTGCTTTTAGTCTTATTTATTAACCATTATTTTCCCATAGCCTTAAGTGACAGGATATGAGTTGCATGAAGATTTTATGAGGTGAGTGGAACCAGAACATTGAAATTCTTTAAAAAAAATAAACTAAAATTAAAAAGAGCTTAATAAAAAAATCCAGTTTGAGTATGTGTATGTATATGTTGTTTTTCTTAAATATGCAAAATCTATATCAGAGGTTTCCAAACTTGGCAACTTTAAGACTTGTGGACTTGAACTCCCTTTAAGACTTGTGGACTTCAACTCCCAAAATTCTCCAGACAGCATGGGATTTGATATTACAGCATTTTTATATTTCTGCTCCTTAGGTAACCAGCCCCAGCAAGGTGTGAATCCGTACAGTCATCTTCCACACTTCTGAATCTGAAAGATGTCAGGAAGAGAAAGTATTTGCACTGAAGAACAGGGAGAGAAGAATTTGTTGCACTAATTACTCCCCCCATTTGTGTGCGTGTGTGTTGCCAATAATGTGAATATGTAGGAAATAGATGATTTTATGTTATTCTTTTGTCTGTAGAAAATTACAGAAATATAAATTATGTGGGACTTAACCTGTGGCTGCAAAATATATGGATTTGGTGCTTTAAGAGTTTTTTTTCCCAAGAGGGTAAAAAGTCCTGAATTATTATTATTTTTTTGTGCAAAAAAAGTCTTTTTTAAAAACAAACAAACAAAATCCTTAATACTGTGTGGGACCAAATGCTGACTAAAAAGACACCCTTATTTATTTGTTTGTTCATTCATATATTTATTATTTAGTTTTCCCCATTTGCTAATTTTTGGTCATCTGTATATTTATATAAGAATGCCATAATTTTTGTGTGTGTCCTGTGCTAAGCACATTTGGCTACAAACGTATTCCACAGTTCTTGATCTGCAGCCATAATTAACCCTAATACAATTGCTAAATTTAATTTTCAATGCAAAATCTATGACAACATGCAAAGAATCAAAAAGTGATTTCAAAGCCTAAATTATCACTGATCATCTTACTTTGAGGGAGAAAAATGTTAGCTGGTGTTGTAGATGTCACAACTGATTTCAGGCTGTAACCTAGCAAAGGGTATTGCCATCCATACCCTTCCAATGCAACATTTGTGCGATGTAAATTATGCCCGTTTTTCAAAGAATTACAGCTTGCACCTTTAGATAGATAAGAAGCATTGTGTCTTTCAGATTGCTTCCTCTGTTTTCAGAAACATTAGCAGAGAACATACTCCTAGGATTTTCCCTAGATATTTCCCTAGATATTAAGATGGCCTTTTGCTATTTCATAGTCTTTGAATGATCCAAAATTATTTCAAAAATTATTTCAATTTTTCAATAGGTAATACAAATGATTCTAATATGAAGAGATCTGTTAGGATTAATGCTTTCTCTTGCAATCTAGCATTCAACATGCTAGAGAATGTATACATGTGTTTGTGTATAAAGCATGCATGCATGCATGCATATGTGCACATGTGGACATATGCATGTATTTGTGTGTATGTGTGAAGGTATATATCTAAATGCATGCTTCCATAGATGAGAAATATTCTATAAATAAGAGTCCTGACCTATACTTTAACATGTCATAGGCTGTTGGTATAAGAGAAAGAGTAGGGATTCAGACAGATTTGGAAGGGACCTTGAAGCTCTTCTAATCCACTCCGTGCTCAAGCAGGAAACCTTATACCATTTCAGACAAATAGTTGCCCAATTTCTTCTTAAAAACCTCCAGGGATGGAGCAACCACAACTTCTGGAGGAAAATTGTTTCACTAATTCATTAAGTGCAGATCCAATGGAAAACCAATAACTGATGATATTTATTGCAAGTAGGGCTTTCATTATAAAATGTCTCAAATGGGAGAGTTTAAAAAAAAAGCTGCTATATCAAAGGTGTCAAATTGGTGGCCCGTGGGCCAGATGCATCATGCGCAGGCCACATCCACCCCTGTGAAGGGGGGAAATGTAATATGTCATGGGACGGCAATGTGACACCATGAGTTTGACACCTGTTGCTATATAATGGCACTAATACATTAAGGAGGCATATCTATAGTGTTAGCTTTGTGAGGAGGTGCATTTTGTAATGAATCATCAAGTAGAAACTGATGTTATACTGTAGAATTCAGGTTTGATTATCTCAGTGGTAGAATCTAATATTTATCACCTTATCAATTGTAACAACTCGGCTTTAGTTTCCGAGTCTTAGAATAATGGCTTTTCATTTTGTAAGATAGTTAAAAACATTGATTTTATTTATGTAAATACATCTGTATTTATACATTTGCTGCAAAAGCACAACTATATTATTCAACAAATTTATATCTGAAATAGAAACTATTTTAACTTTGTGGAAGTGATATTTGCTCATATTTGGGTAAAGACTAAATAGAAGAAACTGTTTTTGTGAATTTTGAGTATTTTTAGAGTTAGATGAACAACTTTTTGAATGTGTTTCATGTAGGGCATATTTAAAATATTTGAGACTATTTTACCACGTATTCTGTCATAACTATACATTTCCTTGTGATAGAATTACAGTAAGGATTATTACGGATGAAATAATATCTATTAAGCAAATCAATCCATTGATGTAGAATAAAATTTGAATTGCAACACCAAGCCAATGCATTTCTATTTTCTCATAATGATATGAGAATATTTAGGGTAATAAATACTTCTGTGAACTACTGTACACTGTGAAAACATTTAGGTTGCACATTGTGAAAAAAAAACTTTTGAAATTTCTTGTAATTTGAATGTATAACATTATTTACCTTTTAAATGAAATCATGCCTATTTTCCTTATTATATACTTTGTTTTCTTAAAAATAATTAACAGTTGTAAATATATTTAAAAAATATTTGGTATTGCAACAAACTGCTGATTCAAGTTTATATTCTTTATTATCACTGTTCAATTATAACAAATGCAGAATAGTATTCATTTCTGTGCTCTATTAGTTGCTGGTTAAATATATAACGTGTAAAAGATGGCACATCCCAGCACTATGGGGTTGGTGGTTCAGGTCTCTAGTTTTGCTCATTTCATGTTTCATTTGGTGACAATCCATCAAACCTGGAGATCAACAGCTAGTTCTGAGATTTTACCATTGGATGGAGTCTGGCTTACCACCAGGTGAAATTGCTAAAAATGTATATCTGAATTAATAGTATTCAAAAATATGACTAATTGACATAGAAAATCCAGTGAAAATCCAAACCCTTCTTTAAATGTAGAATTTGAAATATGAAACTAAAGAATTGTCTGGAGGTTTCAAAGAAAGGCCTATTTTTTTAGATTCTGTTTCCTGTAATAGTTATTCTGGAAGCTCTTGGACTGAATGATAGTGAAAATCTTCTTTTTGTTACCAGTGCCTGATAAGTATCTGAAAAAGTTACAAAAATATTGATAACTTTATTTTTATAACTTGTGAAGCCAAATATGGCTGCTTGAGTCCTTATGAAACTTCAGTTAGAATGATTCAACTATTCCCACTCTGAACATATTCCAGATGTGTATGCAGCCTTCCAAATTTATCAGCAGTAGCCATGCAGACAATCAATTCAGGGAGACCATATCCATGCATCTGGAAGGCACTCAGGCTACAAAAGATTGAAGTTATACTTCTGAAAAGTGGATTGGCATAGAGAACATCTGCCAGGGGCAGAGACAAATTCAGATTACTCTAGATTGTGCATCATACTGAAAATTCTGTTTTAATTTTAAGGTGTGGTTTTAACACGGCCTTTCCTTTTTGTTTCAGCTCTGCCAATTCTGATATTGGAAATACAGAGTTCCTGTTATTTCATGAAACAAGCTCTGTTAGCTGGGTCTATGACAAGGGTGTCAAACTCATGTCGTCACAGCAGCATCACATGGAGTATTGGGACTATTTTGCCCTTTGCTAAACTGTGGGCATGGCCAGCGTGTGACGCATCTGGCCCATGGGCCGGGAGTTTGACAGTCCTGGTCTATGGCAAAATTGTAAAGAGCTTATTAAGATTCTGTATTTAATAATATAGATTTAAATAAGTCAGTATCTATTTTATTACATAATTCCATGAGACAACAGGTGTTCCAGGCAAGTCACAACAACCTCTGATTTTCCTCTCCCCTTATATTCACATACAGGTGAACTAAATCATGATTATAGAACATTTGTTCAAAATTTGGCATTTTAAATCATCTCATTCAAGGAGGATAATGCCAGGAAAAATGTCAGCTTCTTTTTCATACTAGGAAATCATTTTTTAAGTGTAAACTGTAAATTTCTTAAGAGAATCTTGAAATATTGATTTTCTCCTGTTGTTACAGATAACAAAATTAATGATGTCAAGTAAATGGTTGAATTTAGCCATATGTGTTTATTTTTTCTCACCTTTTTTCTTACCTAGGAATGAAAAGTAGGCAATTCGAGTCGTTCAGCAGCTAACATATTGAGGAGAAAAATAAGTTGGACTCCTAGAGCAAGCACTATAGATTTAGGGAAATTAGGATACACACACATACAAACACCCACACCATACTCCTGGTAAGGCAAACTCAGCAAAAATGAATTATATCCTCCAAAGATAAAGAAAAATAAGATACATAGTTTATATAGCAAGAATCTTGGTTCAGGATTGAAGCTCATGATTAGGTAACAAAGTTATCTTACTCTCCTTGCAAGTGGATAGGTTAAAATATACAAAATTTACTTCAACTATAGCCACCATTTATAGAGGCATAACACTAGAGGGACCACTGAGTTCAATCTCTTGCCCAGGTTTTTCCTAATTATTATCATCTGCTTGAAGTCTTTTAGTGAACCTTGCATAAATAAACCTACAAATAGTGATTACTATTTGGTAATTGCTTCCACTGCTGAATTACATGATTAAGAAGATTTTTCTAACATACAACTGCAAACCGTCTTCTTGTAATTTTAATCAATTTTTCTTACTCTTCTTTTGTGTCACACTGTTTTCATTGTTTGAAAAATTATCATTTTTTCCTCTGAAAGCTAAACATGCCAGTTACTTTGTTCTCTCTTAATGGGATTTAATTCCTAGTCTTCTGTATCTTGCTGCCATTTTTAAAATTGGAAATTTAGTTTCTCTGAATTATTCTTAGGGTATGGTGCCCAGAACTGGACATCAATAGAATCCAATCAAGTTATTTATCTAAAAAATATAAGCGTGAGAAAAATTGTTCTTGATGAATAAATTGCAGATTGGCTGTGTAAAGAATGAAGATGTGCTAGAAACAACTACTACGTTAACATAAATTAGGTGTCTTTAAAGGTCATCAGGTGAATGGCAGGTGACCATGAATTTAGAAAGAGAAAAAACCATATTAAATATAAGTCCTGGAGCAGAGGCCTATAAATGAGTTTGATTCTTGTGTATTGCATTGGACAATCTCTGTTTACATGGCTCCATTCTTATCTGCAATAAGGAGACTGAGCTTGTTGAAGCCTGTCTTACAAGACTGTCTTACAAATAAGACAATTCCTGAATAAGAGGTCACCTGAGATTTATAGTCATGCCTGCATGAAGCTTATAGCAACTATTCTTTTTCATTCCTTCCTTCCCATGCACTAGCAACTGTAGAAGTTGAATCCATGCATGCTGCTGAGAATTAGCAGAGGTCTTCTTTCTGAACAAAGCTGAAATGTTGCATTCAAGATGTCTACCTATATTTGGGAGATTCTGGCCATTTTGTCCTATAAAGATTGCCCTCTCTTTCAAAGCATTGACAAAAGGTTGTGTTTGTGAGGAAGGCGGGGAGGGCAATTTGTAGATGGATACTTAATATGCTATAGACCTGGTTGCTTGTAAATTAAGGAATTCCAGCTTTTAGTGACTGATACTGAAACAACCACAAATTAAATGGAGTCCAAACAGTAATTCATGTTAGTATGCCCATTGAGATTGGCCCTGAAGTACAATTGCAACTCTAAATTCTGGCATTATAGCAACTATCTTGAAACCTCTAGCATGCACAGATAGGATCTATTTAGTTTGCCTATGTAGACTACTAGCCATTACGTACAATGAGGATTCATCACAAAGTCACTGACAACTGTTACTCATCATCAGCACTCCAACTTTATCCATGTTCCCTGTTACATTTTCCAATAGGCTTGGAAATGAACTGTATTCACAATCCAAACCTTCACTGACACAATGATGTCATCCCCTTTGTTCACAGGGATTTAAGAATTTCTGCCTATAGAACTCAACCTCCACCACTGATAATCCAGTAACAAGTATACTTTCATACTTTTCAGTATAAATATGCAAAATATGCAGACTATGTTAAGGTATTTAGAAAGGGAGAAGCATAATCCCTGCTCACCCTCAATTCTTTATATAATCTCATCCCCATGAAATGCCATTACACAATGCAGACTTATCCTGTCTGATGGATTAAAACTATCAAGTGCAGAGTCACCCTATCTGATCAGTATAAAAACACATTTCTTAACATCCAATAGTGTAATCTATGGTTGCTGTCTCCTCCCCATCTAACCAAAAGGCATCTTACTCTATTCCCTTTATTTCTGAAATCTTGGAACACTGCTGAGGCCATATGCTTTTTATTAAGATTATATTTAAGATTATATATATTATTTATATATAATCTGATTAATATGAAAGAGGATCAGGAATATCTAAGTACCCTTGATTCTTGTTATGAGAAGTTTGAATAATGTCTTCATTCAGTGTACTGGAATGAGTCAACGTATGTACATATTGTTACTCAACAAATTCAGTGGGATAGGTAGGTAGTCATTAGTTATCCTAATGACTTCAACAATTTTTAAAACATACTTGTCATGATTTTAACTTACACTGCAATAATACATCTTGATATTTTGTTGTTTTACTGATCCCACTCTCCACACTGATCAAGTTCTTCAACGTCTTTATGATAGTTTATGCTGAGCTGTAGTATTGACTTATCCTGTATTAGATATTATACATATTTTCTTAAAATATTTCAGATAAATCAAGCTAAATAAAATTCATTTTCTTGTGCATTCCTGCTCCCCAATCAAAGACCCAGACTGCTTTATAGGATCTCTCAATTTTTAGTATGAATTTATTCTTAATTTTGATCTTATCAGGCAAGAGGTTTCTTTTAAGTAGCCAACAAGCTATAGGCATTCATTTCTCAATCCATCAACCATCATTCACATTCCACTGAAATTTGTATTGTGAAGGCTGATGTTTTAAAATTTTATTTTGGGAACTATAGTTTTATAATCCACTGCAGAGTTTGATAACAATCCCCTCCCATAAGCATTCCTTTCTAGAGATCTCTGTCCATCTTAAAAGGATCTACTGTGTTTTTAACTGGGCACTTTTAGCTATCAAGGATGTTCTTCAGCATTAGCCCATCTTCTAAGAGGTGCTGAATAGCCATACTGAAGAATTTGGAAAACTCACATAGCACCAGATCAGATGGTCACAGTTGTTTTTCTTGCATTTTCACTTTCATAATTATTACATTTCCTCAACAGGTTATGTAGGCACATAGGTTTACTTTGCTGTTTTCCATTTGCTGGTCATTGGAATTATTTGTAATTGTTCTTTTAGTACGCCCCCCTTTTAAAGAAATTCTTACAATTTTTAAGCTTTCTCATTACTTTCTCCCTAACACAAAACCATTTTTGTAATCACTAACTTTATTAAAATCTGACTTTTTAAAAGTTGAATATACATATTTATTCTATTCAGGTTTAGTTTCCTTTCGAATCAGTATCTCCAATCTTACATGGTAACTTTTTTCTGATGTTCTTGCTATTTCAACTTTGTCAGCTAACTTTTCCCTATTAGGAAAGTTTCTTGCATATTTTAAAAATTTGCCCTGAGAAGAGAATTTAAAAACAATATGCATGTGTTCAGTACATAATACATAAAGTACTAGGACAATACTTTTGGACATACTATTTTGATTGTTTTAAGAGCATTCAGGATCATATTGATTTCATGTGCCCATAAAGAAAAACACTGTTTCTTGCCTTTCAATAAAGTATACTGGTAATAAATAGTATGCTTTAAAAACCTATAAAAGTATTTCTTCACATACAATAATTGGCAATATAATTAATATTTACATTTTCATTTCTTCAGATGCAGTTTGGATAGCACTTGTAGAAAAATAATGCAAGCTTTATTTAAAAAAAAATTAAACAATTATTTCTTATTTGTTCTTCCACTGCCCCTGCAAAGGGACTTCTGCACAAAAGAAGTATTGTAGTATTACAAACAAATCCATATTCTTTGTTTTAAAATATTTGAAACAATCAAAAATTTAAAAATGGTCATTTGCATCAATTATAAATGAAACCAGCAATCATATTTTTCAATAACTTTATGATGTTTATACAGTACTATCAAGTGGGAAATAAAAACTAGCATTTAAAAAATCCATTATTGTGCTAAATATTTTGTATTGCAAGTATCTTTAGAGAATATGTTGTCATTTTCACTGTTATTTTTGTTGGAAACTTAAGTGCCTTAAGTTTTTAAGGTTACTTTTTAATAATGTCTTAAAATCAACACTAGGTCATAATGCAAAATCTTCTCAAACTTAAATGTCTTTTAGCTTGATAACTGTAAAGTTAGAATTGTAATAGCACCAAAATTGAAATGTCTTTTGACTGGTTTTGATTAAACATCTTTGAAAGCCAAATAGTCCATTTTAGACTTTATTCCCAATTGTAATAACTTGAACATATGTCACTGTGAAATCCCTGCCAAACTGATTCTTAGCCACACATTTATAAATGCCTGAATTTGATGAATTTGGATTGTGAATTATTAATGTTCCTTGTGGATGAAGAATCTCACTTCCAGATAGTTGACCTTTGATGCCTGTGAGAAATAATGAATGGTTAGGCAGCTCCCATGTAATTTCTGGATCTGGTATCCCAAATGCCATACAATGAAGCCGAATCGCCAACCCAGACACAGTGTGAATATTCCTTGGGGGTCGTTTTGTAATCCTTGGTGAATGTCCCACAATTGTTACAAAAACAACTACCCTTGAATCACCAATATAGTTCTGAGCTTTGCACATATAATTTCCTCTATCATGAATATTGGTTTCTCTAATAAGTAAGGTACCATTCTCCAGTAATGTATACTTCCCATTAATTTGAGGCCGGTCTAAGAGAAAGCCACTGGGAAGTGTCCATATAATGTTTGGCTTGGGACTTCCAGCAGCAAGACAGTGAAGCAATAAAGATTCCCCATTCATGCTTTTTATTGTCCCTCCTGAGTGGAAAACAATTGTGGGTGTTTCACCAGTTTCCAATATGATCAACTTTTCAATGTAGCCTACTTGATTTTTAGCTGTACACCTGTATTTTCCTGCATCTGCTTTTGAAAGTCTATTGATAACAAGAGTGCCATTGCTTCCCAAATAAAACCGGAGTGTTCTAATACCAACATAGAACCGTGTACCATTTGGTAATATCCAAATTATCTCAGGATGTGGGTTTCCATCAACAGAACAATTCAAGAACATGGTTTTTCCAGGTTTTGCTATGACTTTCTCATTAAATGGGTTCCTGAAAACCGGGCGCCTTAGGATCTCAAGCACTTCCAAATGGACTACCAGCATGCTTTCTCCCTCATCATTACGTGCTATGCAAATAAACTCTGCTGTATCTGAAGATCTTACATTGCGAATTTCAAGAGTCCCATTTCTATGTACAGTTATCCGACTTCCATAGTATGGGGCTGTTAAGAAAATATTGTCAGGCATGATCCACATAATCTGGGGTGCGGGATCTCCTTCAGCATTACAAGCTATTTGTTTTTTTGAGTGTTTTATAGCTGTTGCTTTAATGACAGTCCTGTTAGAGTACAGACCATTGATCAGAGGTGGTTTAGAGATTACATCCAGTTTATAAACCTTGGTATCATCTCCACCAGGATTGCGTGCCACACATATATATTCTCCAGCATCTAAAAGCCTTACTTTAATGATTGACAATGACCCATTGATATGGAGAATATATCTCTGAGTAGAAGAAGCTAAAATCATATTGTTAGAAGGCAACAGCCAAAATATTTTTGGCTTAGGTTCCCCTATAGCATCACAGTCAAAGAACGCATCATCTCCTGTTTTTATCTTTGCATAGGCCTTTAAATTCTGCTTGATACGAGGTGCAGCTGCAACCACTTTTATCTGTACTTTCATCTCATCTTTTCCCAGTGTATTTTGAGCATGGCAAGTGTAATCCCCCTCTTCCATCATTCCAACCTTATTGAAATATAGAGTCCCATTGTCAAACAGAGTATACTTCTTCAGTGTATGTCCACTATCATCGGCTTGCATTGCATTATTGATTGTTGTACCATCTGGCAAACTCCAAGTTATTTCTGGCTCAGGAGATCCTGAAGCTTTACAATCCACTTTGAAGTCTTTTCCATAAGGTACCAGTTTCTTAAAATACTGTTTGTGATCAATTTTTGCAGGCTTCATTGTCACACTGACTTTCAAAAGGGTCAAATCATCGCCCATTCTGTTTCGTGCTACGCAAATATAATTGCCTGCATCCTTTTCTGTGATTGACTCAACAGCTAAGGATCCATTGGGATACACATGGATTTGGTTTCCCATTCTGGAAAAAAAGGGGGGGAGGAAGAATCATTTATTTTGGGCTGTATGTCAAATTCCAAAGTTGTTGATTTTCATAGTAACTGCAGAATTTTTTTTTAAAAAAAAACTATTCTAGAATTATAGGATTGGAAGGAATCCAACTCAAACTCCCTTCTTGGTACAGGAATCCAAATTGAAGCATTCCTAAATACTTCATCTAAGTTTACCCACTGCCAGAAAATTTTTCTAATTAGCTGTCAGGGTCAGTGCTGATGAAATATAATGTATATTAGTGGGGTCCTAAAAGTGAAAGGAGTAGATTTCTATGTAATACAATGGCTGCTAAAGAAAATTTTGCAACTCTCCTAAAGTTATTTATTTGTTTAGTTCTATGGCTGCCCATCTCAGTCAAGTACCATGTTTCTCCAACAATACGGCCTCCACCAATAGGAAGGCCCAGCATGATTTCTAGGCATGAGGTGAAATTAAGCCCCGCCCCCAAAATTTAGACCTATTTAAACCATGCATTTCCCGCCATTTCTCACATTGTTTGTTAGAACTACATGATGTGAAGAGAAATGGGGGGGAAGGGGGGGGAGAAAACTTGCCTTTAGGAGGACCCTGCAGGTAGCCTAGAGTAGAATACCCTGATCTACTACTGACAGAACATCGGCAGATAGAAGCTCCCTGAAGGCAGAGTCACCAACCATTTCTATCAGCCGGTAGAAGCGGCCTTGGGGCGAGTGCTCACACGCAATCCCCTCACCACAAAGCTATTTCTATCGGCCGATGGAAGCTCCCCAAAGGCAGAGTCACTAGCCGCTTCTATTGGATGGTAAAAGCAGCCTCGGGGCAAGTGCTCACATGTACTTCCCTCACCACCAGGCCATTTCTATCGGCTGATGGAAGCTCCTCAAAGGCAGAGTCACCAGTCGTTTCTATTGGCCAATGGAAGTGGCCTCGGGGCGAGCACTCACACGCACTCCCTTCACCACGAGGCCGTTTCCATTGGCCGATGGAAGCTCCCCAAAGGCAGAGTCACCATCCGTTTCTATCGGCCGGTAGAAGCAGACTCGGGGCGAGCGCTCACATGCACTCCCCTCACCACATAGCAGTTTCTATCAGCCAATGAAAGCTCCCCAAAGGCAGAATCATCAGCTGTTTCTATCAGCTGGTAGAAGCGGCCTCGGGGCGAGCACTGACACGCACTCCCCTCACCACGAAGCAGTTTCTATTGGCTGATGGAAGCTCCCCAAAGGCAGAGTCACCAGCCGTTTCTGTCGGCCAATGGTAGGTCCACAAAGGCAGAGTCACTAGCTGCTTCGGGGTGAGGTGTGGCTATGCATCATGTTCCCAACTGCAAACTCAATCACATACATATGCTGTTGTCAGAGTAAATATCAGACAACCCCAAGATTCCCGCTGCATTTCTGCTTCCCGAGCCAGCCACTCTTCTTTGTCCCCTCAGTTATTGTCCCCTATTTCCCCCGCCCCTGATTTCCCACTGCAACCACTTGTCTCGCAGGAGGGTCGCTAAGGAAGCTGTTGTCTTCTCCTGTCCCGCCCTTTTAAACTTCTCTCTCCAGCCTTGGAAATCCATTTCTGGGGACCCCATCGCAGCTCCAACCTTGCTAAGCTTCCAGCCTAGACAAGCCCCCCCCCCCCCCCCCCCACCCCCCCCCCCGCCGCCCCGCCCAGCCCCCCCCCCCCCCCCCCCAGATGCGCTCTGGGAATCCAAGGATCGGTTCTGCCCCCCCCCCCATCTCTTACTATTGAGCAGAGCCTTTGGGGAGGTTCCATCGGCCGATAGAAACTGCTTTGTGCCGATAGAAGCGGCTGGTTCTTTGGAGAGCTTCCATTGGCCGATAGAAACTGCTTCATGGTGAGGGGAGAGCATGTGAGCGCTCGTCCTGAGGCTGCTTCTATTGGCTGATAGAAATGTCTGGTGACTCTGCCTTTGGGGAGCTTCGATCGGCTGATAGAAACTGCTTCGTGGCGAGGGAAGTGCACATGGGACGCTGTAGGTGGGGGTGCACCTGGGGGAGGAAATTAAGTCACCCCTAAAAAGATGTCCTAGCCGTTTTTTCGGAGTTAAAAAAAAAAAAAGACCTGGCCTTATTTTATGAGAAACACGGTATATAACAATTGAAAATATTAAAAACATTTTAAAACAATAAAAACAGTAAAATACAATTGTTGAGTTCTCATTGAACAATAAACAGTACTGTAAGTAAGAAGAGAGTCAGTTTGGTCTAGTGGTTAAGGCACCAGGCTGGAAAAGGAGAGACCACAAATTCTAATCCGTCATTAGTCACGAAAGCCAGCTGGGTGACCTTGAGCCAGTCACTCTCTCTCAGCCCAACTCACCTCACAGGGTTGTTTTGGGGAAAGTAGGACGAGGAAAGAATATTGGTATGTTTGCTTCCCTGGAGTTACAAATATAATAATGCAGCATAAAAAATTCTTTTAAAAAAGAAACATATAAAGTTGCCCTCAGAACTAGTGGAAATACTATTATTAAGTGGGATATATGGTAGGCTGCACAAAGAAAATCATATATACACACACACACACACAAACACAAACACACACACATACATATGTGTGTTTTCTTAAGTTTTCGCGGGTACTTACGTTGGTACAACTTTAAAAGCACAACTATAATGATGAGGGAAAATACCCGAACAAAGTTGAATACCATATAAATAAATAAATAAATAAATAAATAAATAAATAAATAAATAAATAAATAAATAAATGAATAAATAAATAAATATATTCTTAAGTTTTTGCGGGTACTTACATGTATGGTATTCAGCTTTATTCGGGTATTTTCCCACGTCATTGTAGTTGTGCTTTTAAAGTTGTAGCAACGTTTCGGCAGAATCTCATCTGTCATCATCAGGCTTCTGTATTGTGTTTGTCTGTGAGTCAGACTTTCACAGCCTTTTCTGTTTTAAATTTGATGCTGGCCTACGCTGGACATACTATTTTGAATGGTTTTTTCTTCATCCTGATTGGTTGGGAGTCTTGATCTGTGTTTATTGGTCTTGGAGTTTGCTGTGTTCTGCTTGATTGGTGTTTCTAATATCTTCTGTATGTTTTGCAGCTTTTTTTTGTCTTGATTGGCTGGCAACATTTTGTTTCCTGTATTGGAGGCTTTTAGTGCAGCTTGGCTCTGAGTAAATGGACGGCTATCATTTATTAGGAAGCTAGGTTTCATCAGACAGACAGAAGATATTAGAAACACCAATCAAGCAGAACAATAAACACAGACCAAGACTCCCAACCAATCAGGATGAAGAAAAAACCATTCTGGCATAGCAGTAGGCTAGCTCCAAATTTAAAACAGAAACAGCTGTGAAAGTCTGACTCACAGACGAACACAATACAGAAGCCTGATGATGGCGGATGAGAGTCTGCCGAAACGTTGCTACAACTTTAAAAGCACAACTATAATGACGTGGGAAAATACCCGAACAAAGCGGAATACTATACATATAAATACCCACGAAAACTTAAGAAAACAAATACATACATACATACATACATACATACATACATACATACATGTAGAGTTTCATGTAACAGGAGCAAGTTTGCTCTAGAAATCAGGTATGATACTTTCTCTCCAAAATTGCAGAAGGTAAGAAAAAAAGGAGGCTAAAGAAAAAGCTGTGCTGTGAGACATGTGCATCAGAGTCCCACAACCATTCTCTCTTTGTGAATCGGCAGGGGGGAGGGGAGAGATGGGATGGTTCCATGATAATGGATGGCAAGTGTGTGCATGCTGTTCTGTTCTTGTGAATGGAGTGCACGCATGCATACTTGCCTGCTGCAGACACAAATGGGGTTGTGCCAGAGGTGATATTCAGCAGGTTCTGACCAGTTCTGGAGAACCGATAGCATAAATTTTGACTAGTTCAGAGAACCAGCAAATACCACCTTAGACCGGAGATTTTACAGTATCCTTCCCCTGCCACGCGCACAGAACCGGTAGTAAAAAAAAATTGAAAATCCCACCACCATTGTGCGCATGCACATGCATGCATGCCCACCCAGTGCTTCTGTGGCCCGAATCCAGTAGTGGACTGTGGACTGGAGGTTAGGGACCCCTGCTGTATGTAATACCTGCTTGGTACTAGAAAAATATCTACCCCCAATCATATTTTCTCAAGATTAAACAACATTGCCAGTTCCCTCAGTATCTCCTTACAAGGATTAGTATTGCATCCAATTTTGATATTCAGAATTGAATGCAACACTGAAGTAAACTTAGTGAAATTGTTACTTCGTGTGATTGTGAAGGTAGACTTTGAACAAATTGCATTTACCTAGTACCACACATTGCTTTTTGCTACATAGAGAAGACAAACTTTCTGATAGGGGCCATTTTACTGTGGAAGGCCCAAACTATCAGAGCTTTATATAATGTCAAAGAATTTTCTCATTAAATTTTGTTATGCATTAATATTTTTGCTTGTAAGTTGATTGCTTGAATTTTAACCTACAATGTGTTACTTTTATCTGTTAAGAAAATTATCCTAATGAATATAATATGTCATATGGTCTGCTCATCCCACTTGCCAACAGTAAGATATTCCAAAGGGGGGAAAAATACTTATTTGTGTTTGTTTTGGAAGGGAATTGCTGGGGGCTTGTAGCATTTTGTAATAGTTTAGAGAGATTTCCAAATAGAAATCATCCATCCCAAAATACTACTTTTCTCAGGATCTCTGCCATTGGTCATAAAAGCTAATTTCATTATGATTTAAAACTGGATTACTCCTTTATTTGATCATAGGAGTGAATAAAAGTGAATCAACAGCTTCAATTATATCCTTTCCTCCTATTTATGCATCCAAATATATGCTGTAATTTAGTATTAACAAAATATATAACTATAGCTAACTATTTATCTTTGCCCATCCATTGTATTATTCCTATTTCACATTATTCCTAATAATTTGCTCATATTGTGATTATGGACTATCAGTCGGCATTTGGTTATTCCCACTGGAATAGAATGCAGTACCATATACAAATGTCTCATATAGTAGGGCTGTTCTTGCATAGTAGGAAATTGCATGACCAGTCAGTCTTAAATTACAGCTAGTCCCAAAGCCAGCAAGTAAGCATTTGGCTAATTATTTTAAATTAGTTTCTTCTATCTTCCATCATTCTTTCTGTTAGATATTCAATGGGGAAAAGTCAGTGATGTCAGACTTCCCCCATTGGTTCATTTTCCTGGCGGGAAAATGAACAGCCGTCAGTAGCTGAAATTGTGGACAGCAGCCTGTAAAAAGAAAAACAGGCACACCAGGTGGCAGTCTTTTGTTCAGAGCTAAATAAAGAAATCCTTTCCTTCTACCGTTGTCCTGCCTCTTCAATGTAGCCCATATCTAACACTTTCATTTGCATTTCATTCTCCTTTAACTCCTGCTAGATTTCCCTTTTTATTATTCTATACTACTCCATCTTACATGCTAATCTCCTCTACAGCTTTCCCAGACACCATTTTTTGCATTTCCTTGCCATCAAAGCAGTTCAAACAACAGCCGTAAAAACTTTCATATCAGAAAAATTCAGTAAAGTCCAGCCAAGAACTGTTATAAATTAGTTCCAAAAGCCCCTACCTGTGCCATTGGTCAACAACAGCTTTGGAAGGTAATCTCCACATTATCCTGGGTTTTGGCTCCCCTATAGCTGAGCAATTCAGAAGTAACCTATTCCCAAAATTCAGCTGAGTCCATCTTTGGGATGTAGCAGCAATTTGGGGTATTATATCTCGGTGTTCCACTTGAAGTAGCACTACTCTCCTTTCTGAACCAGTGGAGCTTGTAGCTATACATTCATATTTACCACTGTCAGAAGGAACTATATTTTTGATAAGAAGCGTTCCATTGGGGAACAAAAAAACCTTGTCACTTAGATAGTGCAGTGGTTTCACCTCTGTTCCATCAGGGAAGACCCAGTGAACAGTTGGATGAGGGTCTCCTTTGACAGTGCAAGGAAACTTCAAACTTCTCCCCATAGTTTCTAGTATAAATTGCTTCTTATCTTCCAGTATAATGGGTGGTGGAGCAATGACTTGCAACCGTATTGCCATAGTATCTGAGCCAATTGGATTATCTGCTCTGCAGGTATATATCCCTCTGTCATAAACACTAACTTTCTTGATGAGTAAAGTGCCATCTGAGTGTAGAGAAACAGCCTCATTTTCTATTGAAAAAGCAGAAATATGAGTTTTGTTTGCAAGGATCCAAGTTATAGAAGGAATGGGATGGCCTTCGGAGGCACACTTCATAACTGCTGGCTTGCCAGAGTGAACTGTAATGATCTTGGAACTTTTCCCTAGAATTCTTGGTGGATAGGTAACCACAGACAAAGTGACCAGAAGCTTGTCTGAACCTTGTTGATTGGCAGCCATACACAAGTACTGTCCACGATCCTGGATGTTGACATTCTGAATGGAGAGTGTACCATTGGGAAGAATCTCAAATCTGTTACTAGCATGTCTGTTTTTTGATGCATCAGCTCCTGTTTAAACAAAAAGAAACTAATGTTAGATTTATTAAAATGTTGCCTATTGCATATTTGTTAGAGTATTAATTTGAACATAAGATTCTAAATTTCTTCATAAAATTCCCTTTGAATTAATTTGTTCACTTAGCTTTTTTTCCTTAAAACTATAGGCAGCAAATTAAATATCTCAATTAATTTCATATGCTGATTATTTAGCAATGCTTCTTATACCCATTAATCAGGCATGTATTTGCATGCTTTAAATTCAGAGCTTACATATATATTGGAAATATTTTGTTGTTTTTGCCTTGGTCTAGTATCACATGATTGCATTCATATATTAATCCAAGAATCTCGGTCTAACTAGCATGAACAATAATGTGATGTTTACCTTCTCTCATTAATAAAGTAGATAAAAAGAAACACTTGCAATAGCATCATATAAACAGCCAATCATGGTTTATTGTAAAACAGCAAAAATTAGCTTTAAGATGATTTATGGTTATGATTTATTTGAATTATTCGAGTCTATTATTCCAGGCTTTTGATTTCATGTGATGCTATTCCTTCTTAGATTATTTACCCATTTTGATCAAGAAATGGAAACATAATGAACTGTGCTCAAGGCCTGTTTATATTGAGGTTTATAGGACAAGATTCCTGGCTTTAAGTAGTTTTTTTTATAGTTTATTTGGAAAGATTCTTGTTGGCTCTATATCTTCAGTATTTATACATTAGTGTTTTTATCAAGTTAAGAAAAAGCATAAATATTATTTCCTCATGGGATGAATTATATTATTTTGGACCAGAGAAAACATACTACAGTTTAATGCTTTTTTATGGAAAGCTGGTGCTTTAGGTGTCCAAATAATGCACTCATAGACAACATAACTCTGGGGCAAGCAGATTCCTCAAAGAACAGTTTATTGGATATTTCATATTGGCACAACTGGTGAAAGCCCACTCTGAATTTTCCCATGGCTTTCACCTAACTAAAAGTAAACGTTTCCCTTCTCCCTCAAGTCACTGGTCACACTGTCCAACCCAGGTGCTTGTCGGTCACTTGGTTACTTGCTCCTCCTCTGGCCACCTGAGAATGTCCTTGGTTCCCACAGGAAAACTTTATTGTTTTGGCTACAAAATCTCATCTAACTAATTCCCCCCTCCCACCATTGTGTGGCAATCCTGAAGCCTCCAAGATGGCTTCAACCAGGTTCACATCAGGTTGACATTACATTTTGCACAATATGCCAGTTTGGTGTGATAATTAAGGCACTGGCTAGAAACCAGGAGACTGAGTTTCCCGTTTTAGGTACAAAACCAGCAGGATGATCTTAGGCCAGTCATTTTCTCAGCTGTAGGAAGAATGCAATGGCAAGGTACTTCCAAAAAAACTTTGCCAAGAAAACTTCAGGGATTCATTAAACAGTTGCCAGAGTCAACACTGCCTTAAAACTCCACCTTACTGCATGAAGCGTATACTTTATATACTATTCTCTTAAAATACTCTAGCTCAGGGGTGTCAAACTCCCATTGCCACAGCGGTGTCACATGACGTATCGGGATTTCTTCCCACTTCACTAAACCTGGTGGGGGCAGCATGTGACACATCCTGCCCATGGGCTATGAGTTTGACATCCCTGCTCTCGCTTAATTAACCTCCCAGCTAAAAATAAGTATAGCTGTTCAATCTAATACTTCATAATTATTTCAGAATCATTCTGAATATCCTGAGTATGAGCAACAATACTGTATCACACCATTACTTTCTGTGCTTAGAGAAAATATAACTAAAATCTGGATTATTATTGGTTTTTTTTATATATCCATTTATTTTTTTGGCACATGTAATTCTTTTCCATTTTATGAAAAATGTTACTTAGATTTGAGACAAGTCATTAGCAAAGTTCACAGCTGGTTTTAAAATCTGACTTTAATCCTAATCTAACACTATATCACTTTGTGGTTATTCTTTCATAATTTAATTATAGGACTATAAACATACATAAAACTTAATTTTGTATGCTTTACTTCTTAAGTCACATCTTGTTTATAATAAAAAAGAACAAATGTAAAATATTAATTTGAAAAGCTTACCTGCTGATATCTTGGTCCAATGAATGGTTGGTTTGGGATTACCACTGGCTTCACATGGAATGAAAGCATCTGAATTAGCCAGGACAGTAAACATTGCAAATTTTCCTCCACTTATTCTGGGTTTTGCCAATCTGATCTGATAGAATGAATTTAAATCTTCTGGATTGGTAGTGGTGGCTGCCTGGCCTGTTCTTTCAGACCAGTTTCTGATGTAATTGTTTTTATCTGTCTTCCATAAAGGAGTATACAGGGTGGAGCTTTGAGGTGATTTTAATACTGTGAATGTCTCCATTATGAGTGGTTTTCCAATATCTCTGATTTTAGAAAATGGAAACTGCCGTGAAATTTTATCCCATCTGGGAGATGAAGTGGTTTGTGTAGTTTGGATGAGCCTTGCTTGGGATAGTAATGGACTAGTAGTCAAGTAAATTGCATTAGTAGGAATCTGTGGATTTATTTCATTTTTCACATGAAGAGCTGTTTTTGTTATTTGTGTTTTTGGAATTGCAGTTAGCCCCACATACTGGTAAGATTCCTTATCTGCTTGTCTAGTAGTTTGAGCTACTTTAGTAAACTTTGGTCCAGTTGTTACCAAGGTTGCATCTGGTAATGCTGGGCTTATCTTTGTTGTATCCCATGACATTTCAAACTGTGGAGTTGTAGATGAATGTTTTTCAGATAACAGTACCATTGGTGGTTTAATGGTGTAAGCATTTCCAAGGGATTCCTGAGCAATATTTAAGAATGTGTTGTCTTTTTTTATATCTGCTGTGCTAAGAACTGGTGATTGTGCTGTAACTGTAACTATATCCATAGTGGTGAATTTTGAAAACAATTCAGTCAGTTTGAGATTAGGAGGTTCAGTTACATTTTTCATAACAGGAGAAGGAATAATTTTTTTTAAGGGTGTGACAAATTCTTTATTGACCAAAATGATTCTATGGAAAGGTATTGACTTCTGCAAAGGTCTTCTCCTCCTTTGACCCTTCTTTCTATGTCGTCGAAATGTTCTGAGTTTGGAAATCTTGTTTGCAACAGTGGTAGTAAGAGTATGAATCTGATGGATGGTTGTAGTATCAGTTCTTTTATTAACATCAGTAATAAAGTTGTACATAGGGGCTGAAGATGGTGATTCTATAGTACTGAGTGATACTATTGGATTGTCTTCTAGTAATGATACGTTCTCACTGATATGTTTAATTAAGTCTATAGGAACATTGGCTTGATTGTCACTTTTGGAAACTTCAGTTTCATATATTGATGAATTTTTGTAAGTTGGTCCTGAGATGTGAAAATCTGTAGCAGATATTTCAGATGAGGGTTTTGTTTGTATTATGGATTGCTTCTGCAGTAGCTCTTTTTGAACACAGTTGGTAACAAAATAATTATGTGAAGGTATTTCTCCATTTGAAACACTAGAAGAGACATCATGGATACTAAAGGAGGGAATAGTGGATTTGATCATGAAAGGTGCTTTGGTAAATGTACTTTTCATGTTAAACTTAGATTTATGGATACTGGTTGTGAATTGAATGTTAGCTGATGGATCTATATCAGGGATTGTTTGATGTGTATCTGATTTTATTTTTCTTTGTGGTGCAATTTGGGTGCTTTTAGAGTAGAAGGGAATAATTGTAGAAGCTTCATACACCTCATCTGTATCTATCTTGTTATTTGAGGATATCACAGTGTGACTTGAAATTGTTGATTTTGGATACTGGGGTTTGATCAATGTTTGTGGGGTAAATGATTCAACAGAAGCAGTTGGTATGCTTATTTCTGCAGGGAATGTAAGACTTGAGCTTTCTGGAACAAACCCTGATCTAGGAAAAGCAAATCTATGCCCTGCATTACTGGGAATACGGTCAGGTCTAATTATTCGTCTTCTTCCAAAGGTTTTTCTTCGTCTGCTAAACCATCTGGGGAATGGACTATGAGTTGCAGAATCCTTCACTACCTCAATCTGTTGATGGGCAAGAATGGCTGAACCTGGAGATACCTGAAATGTTATTTTTTTTCCATTATAAATATAGCCACTGTCATTAGACAAACTGATTGCTGCTGAGGGCACTTGATGGCTTGATTTTTTTGATGCTTTCTCAGCATTTTCTGCCAATAAATCAGGTTTTTCAATAATTTTGTGTGAAATTATAAGTTTGCTATTATTAATAATAGCCAATGTTGGTGTTACTGTTGGTTTGCTTTTAAAATAGACATTAATGTCTTCAGATGTTACCAATCTCTGAAAAGAATTTGAAGTGTTTGCTGCACTGTTGGGTTCTTTAAACAATAAGGGCATTGTTACTTCCATCAGGGTTGGTGGTGTAGGAAGTGTCTGATATCTTTCAAGACTTATTCCTTTCATTTCAGGTTTTGGTTTATTTAGCCAATTCTGGTTTGTAGGTGTCTCAGAGTCCATAACCATAGAACTGGTTGCTGAAGGTTCTGATTCTGTAACTATGATATGTGTTGCAAAAGAGCTGTAATTATCTGATATACTTCCAAGTTTTGCTGTCACTACATTTCCTGATGCTTCTCTCAAAGTGTATTTTGAAGGTCTTCTAGTTGCTAGAAACATAAGTTCTTCCTCAGCTAATATGTCATCCCCAGATATCTCTTCTTCATTTCCTGAGCTCCTTGAAGACAGAAATAACTTTTCTGTTGGTTTTACTGTTATATTTTCTTGTCTTCTTAACAATGTGATATTTCTTGTTTTTTCTAAAAATGTCGCCCAGTGCAATGGATTGATTCTCTTGGTAGAGAGACCAAATCTCTTTTGTCCTCTGAACCTTCTGCTAATCTTGCCTCTATTGATCCTGTAGACTTCTTTGTACATGTTTTTGGTTTTATTTTTTATGAAATAATTTGTAAATGAATTTTGCATGGATGCTTGGTTGGTTACCTCAGCAGGAACAGTAGAAGGAAAAAATGTAATTTGCCCATTAAAGTCATGTTCTTGGTTGCCAGATCCTTCTGTTGCTTCACTATGTACCTGAGTATCTTTTTTTGTGAGTTGTTGTGACTTGCTCAAATTTCTTTTAACAAGTACTTGGTAAACTAAATAATCTATACCATATTTATTGGCTGTTATACACATGAAATGGCCATTGTCTTGTCCTGCTATTGGTTGTATTTTTAATGTTCCATTGTGGAACAGAAGTTTATTTTTAAAAGAACTATGAAGAATTATGTTTCCTGGTAGGACCCAATTAATAGAGGCATCTGGTACACCTGTAGAAAGGCAGGGAAGATCAACAATTTCACCTAAAAACACTGAAAGTTGTGGTCCATTTAAAAGGTTGTGCTTCAAACTTGAATCTATTACTGTAATTCTAAAAGTTAAGATATCGGCATCTTCATAGTTGGTTCCTATACAGTGATAAAGTCCAGTGTCAAAATGATCTGCTGAATGTAGTAAGAGCTTACCAGATTTTTCTATCATTATTCTTCCATCTTCACTTATATATGGAGCCTTAACTTTGGTCCCATCAGGTAACAGCCACTCAGCTACAGGGGCAGGGTCTCCAATTGCTTGGCAATCCAATTCTACAGAACCATTGACTAAAACAGAATATTCAGTTTTGGAATTCTTCTCTCGTAAGATCATGGCCCATGTTTGTTTGGTGGGCTTTGGGACATCATCAGGAAGAATGATTTGAGCATCTATTGAATATTGGATATGCAGCATATTGAGTGTAGTTGCGGTCCTATCCAATTGCATTGATACTTGACTCTGCATCAACCAAGGAGGCTCAGCTGTCAGTTCAGCTTCTATGTCAGTGAAAAGTTCTTCATTTTTAGAGGCTGTTTGTTTGTACTTGTAACTGGTATAAGGCATTTCTGTTAATAAGTGTTCCCTTCTCAATTTTAGTGGAGAATCACTATAAAGAGCAAGAATGCTCCACAATTGATGAATATGATTGTGGTCAATGCTACACTTAAGAAAAGTTGACAATGATATTTCAAGTAGTGTGTTGTTATCATTTTTTGTAAATATAACTGGAGACATTTTTGAAGGTTTCTGTACATTACAAGCTATATTTGCTTGATTTCCTGTTTGGTCTATTAAGTTTAATGACATAGATCCTATAGGAGCCATAAAATCTTTGGGAGACACTGAAGTGAATTCTCCATCATCTATTATAGTTACAGTTTTCAATTTTAAATCTGTGTCTATACTTGGTTTACTACAATTAAATGAAGACAGTGGAATTTTAGTTAAGTGTTTCTCTTTAGAAATCCTGGGGTTGGTGCACAATGGGCATTGCAGTGCATCTGTGGCCTCTTTGCCTTTTTTGCATTTTACAACATCTAGAAAGGAAGAGATCAGAAAAAGTAAATTGATGTTCTATTGTTTTTGTAGAAAAAAAACCAATTTCTAATCAGTTGAAATATATTTTTGGAACTTGCGATGCAAGCATTTAGTCGCCATTACAAAACAGAATTGGAAGAAGCAAAGTAAGCCCTTAAACCCAAACTTCTGATCTGTGAAATAATCCAAATTAAAGTTTTGTTTAAAAATTATGGGAAGCCTTTGCAGTTTAACTGACTGCCTATCTATCATATACCTGTCTACCGACCACCTTTGTATGTCATTTTATCATAAGACTCTGCTTTCAATGGCTATGGCAGAATATATTTTAAAGAAACTAACATGAGAAAATAGTAATTGGGAAATGAAGGATCTTTGATACAGATATCTGAAGGAAAACATAGGACTGGGCAAACTTTACTGACCTTATCTGTATTTTATTCTGAAGTTAGAACTAATAAGTTTCCATCTTACTCCAGTGCTCTTGTTCTTGTCCTAGTTCTTCACATAAATAATTATGTTATATAGAAGAGTGGAAACAATGGAAAAACTGAAAAACAAATGGCACTATTATTCTGAAGTTTGAGGGCATGAATGCTTTAAATCTTTCTCCACAACCTATCACTTCTCAGTTGATTGATGGAGAAAAAGAAACGGGGTTGAATTTACAATTTTGGATGTATAGGACAATTATGCCACTGTTAAACACTTTCAAGCAATGCATATCCAGATTCTTGAAAACATCCAACAATGTGTGTATCAGTGTGTGTGTATTCTGTATTCTTTCCTCAAAGCAATTATTTTGAATTAGTTATTTCCCATTTTTTGAAAGCATACTTGCACTATTCCAGTCTAAAACCATTATTCCTGCCCATTTTACAGTCACTTTTAACTGTTGGGTCAGCCCAAATGTCTTATGTTGCAGGTGAACAGCATACCAAGTTACCCTACTGACATTTCATAGCCATATATTCAAATCTCAGTAATATATTTTGTTCTTTTGCTCCTCCTCCTCTGAGTAGGATAGGGTAAAAAAATAAATGGGAAACTTCTGCTGCCTTCTTAACCCTCGCAAATCCCAAACTGTCCCCCAAATAGCAAATTGGATTGTTGTTACAGGTTTTCAAGAATTGAAACTACAAGTTGTGTCATAACATTTTTTGTTCTCAATTTTTTTTCCTTTAAACACATTTTATTTGCCTCTTCAGCCCCCCTAAACTGTCTGACAAGCTTTGTCCCCGCTGCTTTTGTTGTCACCACATTCCCCGATGGTTTCTTTCATCACCATCACCATTATCCCTGGAAAGTTAAGACTGAGTTGTGACTCAAACATTGCCTAGTTCTGCTTTACTATAGCAGAGTCAAGTACATGTTCTCTTTTTTCCCTGAGTGAAGAACCGTCTACATGGCTCAGCTAAGTATCACTGTAGTATTTTCAATTCATTTTCATCTCATGTTGATTTATAGGGTAATAGATTTCTCACTTGGTTTTGTGTTATCTAATAAGATTTCCTCTACTTCATTACCCAAGTCATTCATAAAAATTTGAAGAAAATGAGACCAGTATCCTGTGACATCCCACCAGGTGCTCCCTCTAGCTGTGCAAGCAGACTTTAAGAATCTTATTTTTGTGGAATACTTGATGCTCTCTCTATGCTTATTTGTTTGCAGATATTTCATTGCTTGACTATGTAACATCATCAATGCAGGTGATTGTGGGGTTTGCTCCTGCTTATATACTATAGCCTGCTCTGCTAGTGTTGGTAGTGGTGGTTTTTTTCCTTGGTAGTTTCTTGAATAGGATATTATTTTCTAGTGTTATCTGATGTTAATTCCTGCAAATTTGGATATTTGTCTGCTAGAAAGGTTCTGTTTTGATCTTTTAGTTTCCTTCTTTTTTTCTTTTTTTTTTCTTTTGAATAATGTATAAATATGATTTATCTCTATGTGTTTGTTGATGGCTGGTTTGTCTTAATGACAAATTTCCAGGAATTCTCAAGTGTTTTTACTTTTAGTCAGTCTGCAAGAAAACAATATCCTAATCAGTGAACTACCAAAGAGGAAACCATACCACACTAACAATGGCAGAGAAAGCTACTATGGCCTGTCGAGCAAACCCCATACTCATTAGTACTGATATTACCTAATTGGGTAATGAAAGATCTGCAAGCAAACAGCCAAGCTCAGAGAGCACCAAGAATTCCATAGTTCAACCATGAATTACATATATTCTCTTCTATTCGAATATATTTTAATTGTGAATAAACAATCTTTGTGAATAAGGCCAGCAGATATTTGAGGTATATTCTTGCAATTTATAAAAAGACAATACATACCTGAATGTCTTTCTGCCCATTTGGCAAACCATTTCAAAGCACAATCACAAGTCCAAGGGTTTCCATGAAGATAGAGACTTTCTAGTTCAGACATATATGAGAAAATGTCTTGTGGCAGAGAAGTCAGGAAGTTGTCTGAAAGGTAGATATGCTTTATGGCAGATGTTCTGAACACTTTGAGGTACCACGAAGTGACAAACGTATCTGGATGAAGTTGTTTAAGTAAATTTCCTTCCAAATGCACTAACTTCAGCGATGTGAGACCATAGAAAGCTTTTGGGTTTACAAATTCAATTTTATTATGATCCAGGTGCAAACGCACTAAAGCCATGAGACCATGAAATATGTCTGCTTGAATAACTTTGATTTGATTATAGCTCATCTTTAAGATCTGTTGATAAAAAAGAGAATAAGAAAAGGAATCTAAGCTGAAGTTACATGTAATTCAAATACTTCTAAAAATTATTTTCAGACCAACAATAGAATATGATCTCAATTCACACATTATACTAAATGGTGTGGTTTCATTGATTTTGACTTTAGTATGTTGTATATCCCAACATTGTGGTTATTCAATAAATTGTGGTTAAACCATATTTAACCTATGCATGAACCTGTAATTACTATCAGTGAGTCTTATTTTTTATTAAATATGTTTAGGATTGTAGCCATTTATTCAATGAGAAGAGTGATGAAAATGAAAGGTGAATAGAGTGTAATAAACTTACATCTTACACTCCTCAGAACCATTGTATTTTTTCCACCTAACAACAGGTTTGATGGCAAAACTTTGCCAACTCTAAACAAAATCAGTCATGGACAATTTCCAGCTTAATCTTACCTTTAACAAATGTAAATCAGAGAATGTCTTGTCTTGAATTGTATGTATCTGATTACTGTGCAACATCAACAATTCCAGTTTCTCCAGGCCAGAAAAATCTGTCTCAGTCAGTTTAACCAAATTGTTGTAACTGTAACAAATATTTCATTCCATATCTGGGTTTAGTTAGTCAGCTATAGTTTAAACGTTAAACAGACAAAAATAGAATAGCTGTTCTGAAGGTGTTTAAGCAGACTGTAATTAAATTTTCTCATTTAAAATTGAAAATACTTTGATCAAAGCAATAATAAATGAAAAATATGGCTCATTATCATGCATTTGGATATGACCTAATCAGTGTTAAATCTATACAATTTCTCTATTGTTCCTCTCAACGTGTTCTGATAATAAAAACAATGAAACACTGCATATATAATACATTTATGAAATTACATTACAACAAAGTACCATCAGACCATCATGAACACAACACGTATAAATGGAAGAGTTAGAAAAAGGCTTAGAACCTAACCTCTTAATACTCTTTAATACAGGAAGTCCTTGACTTACAATTCATTTAATGACTGTTCGAAGTTACAATGGCATTGACAAAAACTGACTTATGACTGTTTTTCATGCAACCATTGTGGTATCCCCATGGTCACATGATCAGAATTCAAACCCTTGGCAACTGGTTCATATTTATGACAGTTACAGTGTTCTGGGGTCATGAGATCCTATTTTGCAACCTGACAAGCAAAGTCAATGGGAAAGGCAGATTCACTTAGCAACTGTGTTATTTACTTAACTACTACAATGATTCAATTAACAGCTGTGGCAAGAAAGGTCATAAAATGGGGCAAAATTCATGTAACAAATGTCTCATTTAGCAACAGGGATTTTGGGCTCAGTCGTGGTCCTTAAGTCAAGGACTACCTGTATTCAAAATCAGGGTGTTTCCAGATGGTGAGGGTTCAATCACTCATTTATGGCTGTCATAGATTAGCATAATAGTGAGGGTTTAATGAGGCTGAGATTGATCAATAGTAGCAAAACACAACGGAACCTGACAATATTATACTATGACAATATAAATAAAATAAATAATTAAAATGTATTTTACAAGATAATAAATAAAAAACCCAAGGCATGCTAAAAACTTATTTCAAACTGAACATATTTAAAGACAAAAAAAATCAATTTATCAGGTAAAACATGCTGTTATAAAAAGCAAAAATTTTCTCCACCGGAGAATTGGATGGGAGTTCCAGAGTAGAGGAACAATTTCCTCTGGAATGATAAAAGACTTTTCCAGTTTCAAGTCTAGGTAATTACAGTTATTGGGAATCATGAATAATAAAAATTTAATAAATAATAATAATTTGGATTTGTTGCAGGTACAGCTGTCAGCTTGTTCCTATGGTTTCTTGTTGATGGGAATACTTGCATACAAACAGATCATCTATCTTTAAAGAGATTCTTATAAGCAACAACAAATCATAGGCTCTGGAACTCCCCACCTCCACAAGTACTGGATACTGTCTGTTCCAAAAATCCCTTTTATAGATAATGAGGCATAACACATGGGAGAATTCCATACATTCTATGCATTATATACAGATTCAGAGTTATGTTTCTATATTATTTGTGAAATGAAAAGATGAGGAATAAGCCTATTCAGAAGTCAGGAAAACCTATTCCTTTCCTGACTTCTCTGCATCTTAGGAAATAGGAATTATTCAATACACAATAAACACCAAAGGCATGCAAGAACAGTAATCATCTATCTTTCTTGCTGTTGCTTCATGTTTGTAAATTCCAGCAGACCTCCAAAAGCTTGAATATTTGTTCACTGCCAAAGTCTCAGAGAAACTGCTGAATTTGAGTGACCAATAAAATATAGCTGATTATCAAAGCAGCCTCAATTTATGGTTCACTGACAAAGATGATTTTGCTAGCTGATTTGCATATGTAAGTTTTAAACAGATGCTATAACTGCTTTGATCTGAAAATGTTAACTATAACATTGCAACAGTGGGGGAGATGATGGGCTTTAGATTTCCCTTGGTCAACATTTTTAAAATGTTATATACAAATATTTTAAAATGTTTTATACAAAATGTAAGCTTACATTATCGCATACTAAATTTGAGTCAACATTCTATAGGATCTACTAAAAATGTTCCATCATTATCTTCCTTCCTTCCTTCCTTCCTTCCTTCCTTCCTTCCTTCCTTCCTTCCTTCCTTCCTTCCTTCCT